GCAGCTGGAATCAGGAATGGAATCGCTGAAGACCAGTTTCATCTGCCCCAGGTGTACCAGCTCCAAACATTTGTACTCCAGAGCTGAATGTGGAAGGCTGACCTGGTCAGGCTCATCAAGAGCCACCAGAGTGAAGGGAAACAGCTCTCCAGAAGTCAGGCTCTGACCTCTTAGAGGCAGCTGCATGAAGGGAGAGAATCTGACCGTTTGTCTAGCCTTAGAGGGTGGAGAGATGGGAATGACATTTCTGTTCCCTGCAGAGGGAACAGAGTGGCGAAGGCAGGAGGCTCTGGTTGCCGTGGGGATTACATGAAATTATACTCATGTATATAGACTTGAGGGATCCTGTTGTGGTGCTGCAGGGTAAGCACTGGACTGTTAATCACAGGTTATTGGTTCAAACCCACCAACCCCACCTTAGAAGCTCTATACAGGTTTCTAGGAGTTGGAACAGACCTGAAGGCACCTAACACCATCACCATACAGACTTGAGGGCGGGGGCAGTTCTATGGTAGAACTGTTACCTTCCACATGAACCCTGGTGGCACCACAGATTTACTTGTTAAACTGCTAACCACAAGGTCAGCGGTTCAAACCTGCCACTGCTGTTCAGGGAACACAAGAGGCTGTCTGCCCTATGATAGTTTACGGTCTCGGAAACTATACAGGATCACAGAGTCAGAGTGGACCGAAAGGCAGTGGGCTTGGTTTATGCAAGAGACATGGGTATACTTCTCAGACGTGCATCAGGTTAGTGGAGACTTGTGTGTTGAACAGTTTCAGTAGAACATCCAGACTAAGACTAGGAAGAAAGGCCTGGCTGTTGATTCCTCTGAAAACCCTGTGGCTCACAACAGTGTGACCCAAAGCCTCTCGTGGGGATGGTGCAGGAACGGGTAGCATTTTTGTGGTAAGGGGCACCAGGATCCAAGGGCCCACTCAGTAGTAGTCCACAAGAACCATATGTAGACCTGGCTCTAAGGGATTGGGAGAGGAGGGCAGGGGCTACATGGCCCTGAGTATTAGCCTGTGCATTTCAGAGACAAGCCGACAGGACACAGAAAATACGCCCGCTTCTCACTATCTCAGGAGGCACACACCCAGGGCCAAGAAAGCTGGGAGTGTCCTTGGCACGTTTTGCTTTTGTATGTGGGGAACATGTGGTGGGAAAGATTCCACTGAGCCAGCACTTACACTTCCAGAAAAGTCTTAGCCACCAAGACCCACAGCCCCGAGCAAGGGTGTAAACTAAGACGCCAGTGTGAGGCCAAGAACTGGTACAAAAAGCCATGCACTTTCCCCACAGAGGAGATGAAACCGGGCGGGGGTAGGTGAAAAGGCCAGTGCAGGGAGAGCAGTGAGAATAGACACTCAGGGAGGAGACTGCTCAACAGCAGTCAGAGAGACCTCATGTCCTGCACCAGCCTCAGGGAAGTAGGAAGGCCAGAGCTCATCCAGAAACAGATGCAGATACCGCTAGTCATATGACTCCCCCACTCCTTTCTGCTTAGGACTCACCAACCAACAAGCTCCTCTATGCTAAGGAGATCCCCGAGTACCGCAAGATTGTGCAGCGTTACTACAAGCAGATCCACGACATGACCCCGCTCAGCGAGCAGGAGATGAACGCTCACCTGGCTGAGGAGTCTCGGGTGCGCAGCACAGGCGGTGGGGAGTGGTGGGGACTAACAGGAGCATTTTAAGGCCAGCTGGGCACCCTATCTTGCCTCCCATGCTATCTGAGATGAGAGCGACAGGTTCAGGAGAGCGCTCCCAAGGTGGAGCCAAGATTTGGATTCAGGGTCCCAGAATCCCAACTTGTAGAGCCTGGTCACCAAATGAAACATGAAGGGCTCTTGAGAAACAGAGGTTTATCTTGGGACCAGCAGCCCGTCTTGGCTGTGTCCTGCTTTGTTAGCTGAGTTAACCAGCTCCCTTCCCCGCTTGGTCTTTGCTCTTAGAAATACCAGAATGAATTCAACACCAACGTGGCCATGGCAGAGATTTATAAATATGCCAAGAGGTACCGCCCCCAGGTGAGTACCCGGCAGGTGAGGCAGCAGCCCTCAGGCACACTGCTCCACTGCCCTATCCAGGCCAGCTTCTGCTCAGAGAAACAGATTCCCCCTGGGGGGAGCCGTTTGTGCCCAGGGGTGGAGACTCAGGCCTCCTGTCTCCCCTCAGATCATGGCCGCTCTGGAGGCGAACCCCGCAGCAGGGAGGACACAGCTACAGCACAAGTTTGAGCAGGTGGTGGCTCTGATGGAGGACAACATTTACGAGTGCTACAGTGAGGCCTGAGGCTGTGTGACTAGGAGACAACTCAAGCCGGGGGATGGCTGGGGCTGTGAGGGGCTTCTCTGACCCAGGCAGAGGCAGCCCCCAGCCCTAGCTCCTGGGGCACCTCCCTCTCTCCTGCCTTCCCCAGACCTCATCTCTGGGTGCCTTGAATGCCTCAGCCAGTCCCTGGCCAGGCCCCTGCCACCAGACATAGCCTGGACGGCCTGCCTATTGCTCCCAAGGACCAAATACCAAGAAGTCCCAGCCTGAGGGGACAGCCCAGTGCCGATGGAACGGAACAGCCACTGGGGACGAGGCCGCCCACCAGAAACACTACCTCATGCAAACTGGCCGAGGGGTGACCTCCGTGAGCCAGCCTTGATTAGTCTGTGCTTCCCCCACCCAGAGAAGGCCCTGCAAACCTGTTCCAAGCAGTGTCAAGTTTGGGTTCTTCAAGGGGCAGTGCCCCGTCTGACAGGCTAGGGGAGCAACAAGGTGGAGACCAAGGCATTTGGGAGCTTCCTGGAGCCAAGGAAGCAGGGCCAAGTGCTGGGGAACCCTGGTCTTGAGGTGGGGAAAGGGGTTAAGATGCACCAAGGCTGTAGCTGGGCTACTTGATCTTGCTGGAAGTGTTTCTAAAGATAGCACCACTTTTGTCGTTTTTTTTTTTAAAAAAAGCTTTTCTATATTAAAGAACGTATCACGCGCCAACTGTGAATAGCTGCTGCTTGTGTCGAGGACCTGGGGAGGGGATCCTGAGCGGTTCCCAGCACCACACTGGAGAGGACTAGTCCAGAGAACAGGGCAGACCTGGCTGAGATCCCCAACAGCCTCAAAAACTTCCCCTCTCTCCTTGCAGCCCCCTTGACGCAGGGACCAACTCATAGCCCACAGGGGGCTGGGCTGGAGGGGGTGGCCAGGACTTTCTGTTATCTTCTTTGTAATAAAAGCCTGATGGGAAATGCGCTGTGGGCTCCAGCCTTTATCCAGGAATGGGGAGATGGGTCAGCTGGAGTGGGTGGTAATCTTTTCACTACTGTGCATATAACAAAAGGGAGGGAGGTGAGCCTGGGCTACTCTCCCGCGCAGTCACATTCCCTGTGAGGTTTGAGCTTTGCGAACAAGGCATTGGCAGTGGAAGGGTTAAATAATGCAGGCTAAAGGGCAACAGCCAGTGTTCATTGGCCTTTAAGGGCACCCTGGGACCTCCAGGAGGATGTCACAGCTTCTGTACTACCTACTACCACAGCCCACCACCCTTCTCCAGCCCCCCAACCCCCGTGGGCCTTGCTAATAAATAAAGATGTCATCTTTATAACACACAGGAATGTAATGTTAACTGCTTTTAGTTGTCCTGGTTCATGGTGACCCCATGCACAAAGGAATGAAATGCCTGGTTTGGCACCATCCCAATGATCAGTTTCAGATCAGCCCGTTGTGATGCATAGGGTTTTCATGGACTGATTCTCTGCAGTACATTGCCAAGTGTTTATTCCTAGTCTCAGTCTGGAAGCTTCACTGAATCCTGTCCAGCTTTATAGCAACACACAAGTCTCCATGGACATATGAGTGGTAGCTGCACATGAGGAGCACTGGCCAGGAATTCTTGGATTAGTATAGGACTGCTAACCGTAAGGTTGGCAGTTCAACCCTACCAGCTGCTCCTTGGAAACCCTATACAGGGCCACTACGAGTTGCAATCGACTTGACAACACTTCACAATAACTCCTACATGAGATACAAGAGTTCTACCACTGAGTCACCAGCTCTCCCAAGAAGAGCATACCATTACTCATTTTACAGATGTAGAAACTGAGTCTTAGTGTGGTGGAGGCATTTCATACAGCCAAGCACAGGCCCCTGGAGGGGGATGTTGCATGGTCCTACTAATTCTGTACTTCTAGATCAGTCTTCCAGAAGGCCCCCAAAATGTCTGGGGAGACAAAAGTGACCACCCAGGAAAAGGAACTGATGTTTACTCTAAAACTAGTTGCTATTGAGTCAGACCCCACTGATGGTAACCCACATATGTCAGAGTAGAATTGGGCTCCCTCCAGAGGATTTAGATGACTGACTTAGAAGTAGATCACCAGGCCGCTCTTCCAAGGTGCTTCCAGGTGACTTGAACCTCCAACCTTTAGGTTAGTAATCAAGCACGTTAACCATCTCTATCACCTGCCACTGGATTGATACCAACCTTGAAAACTATGTGTCATTCACTCCACTTTTTAGATGGGAAGACAAAGGTTATTTTCCCAAATTTGACTTTGCCATGGCCTCTTCCACAAAGGGCAGGCTTTTCTGCTCACCACTGGCTGTGAGCAAAAAAACAAAAAAACCCTCCAAATTTCATTGTCTTCGGGAGAAGACAATGGCTCTGTGTTGTTAACAGAGAGGCCAGGGCCAAGGGTGTGAGGCAGGGGGACCCCTGACTTGGAGTGAGTTTCCTCAGAGGAAAAGGTTACTGGAGAGTTTAGAATTAAAGTGACACAAGCTAACATTTCCCTACTCAGAAGGGAACCTCATTTACGTAGCTAATTGTCAACAGTAAGAACTGAGAAACAAAAATTCATAAAATGTCAACCAAATTCCACCAACACCAGTTCTAGAATATGTGAGAACAGAAAAGCAATAACCTCTTAGCTGTACCGATTGCCCTCTCCGGGGTTTGCTTCTAGATGAAAATCTTTCTCACATTTTCTATTCTGAGCATTTTTATCTTTTTATTAAGCAGTTTTTCTAATTTAAGTTGTCATCACATTTGATAGGGTTTTTTTGTTTTTTTTTTTGGTGTGTTTGTGATTCTAGAATAAACAAATGTTTGCTGGAGAAATACCAGGAAGCAAAAACAGCAGGGGAAAAAAGCCCCCGAAAGTTCCCCTAACCTCCCCCACAATTGTTGGTAGTTCAGAGAACCCCTCTCCCCCCTTCCAAGTCATGTGTTGGATGAGTTGCAGGGGTGGGGGAGGGGTGGTGTTGGGAAGTAAAATTTGGGATCAGCCTGTACACACCATTTTGTAACCTGCTTTTTTTCCTCGTGCAACAATATGTTAACAACATCTTTCTCTGTCATTAAATATTCTGCAGCCTGTTTTAATGCCTGATTAACATGCAATTCCTTCTTGAAGTCTAGAAACACATTTGCAGATGGAAAGCATTTCTAGTTCAGGAACATTTTTTGGTACTGAAAGTGGTCAGTTTCTGTGAACTATCCACAGTGCTCATCTTCCCAACTGCAGACCTGAGGGGGTGTCCTTCCCTTTGCCTGAGGTTTGCACAATGGGGATCTCCTGGCGTGGTGTCCTGAGTCCTGTAGGGTTTTCTGTGGCTGTTTTTTTGTAAGTGATTGGCAGGCTTTCTGTGATAGGGAGGACTCCAACTTTTTGCTTAGCAACTGAGTGCTTAACTGTTTACACATAAAGACGGGAAGTGACTCACCCTAGGTCTCCCTCTCTGCCATAGTCTTGTGAGTGGTGGTTAAGCTGACCTCCACCTCATGGTGACCTCCCACAAAGCAGAAAAAACATTGCTAGGGTCCTACACCATCCTCAGGGTGCCTCTCTCAGCCCCCAGGGCAGAGCCATGAAAGGGGCATCAGCCCACCCTCCACCCAGACCCTGGAGCCATGCTGCAGACATCCCAGGGAATCTGTCAGCACAGACATACAAAGTCTCGAGTGGGTTTCTGGGGGAGGAGCAGGACAGGACTGAACAGTCCAATATCCCATGCTGACAGCCTCAGTTTCCCTTTGTGCCCACCTGCTCCCTTCCCAAGTCCCATACACACGGTGATCTCTTAACCTTCCTGCAAAAACAGCTGTTATCGCGTTGATTCTGACACTTTATGTAGGCTAGTGTATACTTGCGCTCCACGGGGTTTTTATGATTGCTTTCAAAAGTAGCCAGGTCTTTCTTCTGAGGTGTCAGGTGGACTTGAACCTCAAACCTTTCCATTAGCAGCTCAATGTGGGAAGCGTTTGCACACTTGCCTCATTGGGACCACCCCTCAGTGGCCTCCTGACCTCAGGACATGACCATTATTAAACCTCACAGATGTTTAGAACCAAATTGTGGTCTCCTCTTTGAACCTTTCTCCATCACACCCAATCCACTAGCAAATCCCACTCGCTCTCCCTTCAGGGTCTTCCCAGAACCCCCCACTGCTCCCGCTCTGGCCCTATCCCCTACATTCACTCTTGTCTCGTGGCCCCTCCTCACACTGAACATAAACCCAAAGTTCTGCCCTTGGCTTACAAGTCGACCTCACACAGCTCATTCCAGTGTCAGCTACTGCACAACACCCCACAACAGCGATCATTTCATTTGCTAAGAATCCACAATTGGGGTGGGCTCTGCCAGGGAAGGCTGTGTCAGCTCTATGGGGTGTCAGCCAGGGTTAGCAGATGAAAGGTGCAGCGCTCAGCTGGGGTGGAAAATGGAGGGGCCTTAGTCCCTTCATGGGCTGCTTGGGCTTCCTCACAGCATGGTGGCTGAATTCCAAGATCAAATATCCCAAACACAGAAGTAGAAGGTGTCAGTCTCTTAAGCCCGGGTTCAGAAATTGTTGTAGCATCATTTCCACTGTGTTCTATTGGTTGATGAATCACAAAGCCCAGATTCAAGTGGCAGGGATGTTGTTAAAATACCCACACCACAAAAAGCCCAAACTTGCAGATAGTACCTATTTGACCTAGCTTTGATGGTTTGAAGATCAGAGCTTGACTAGAGAAAGATAAAGAAATTTGATACAGGAAGCAAGTCTAAATTTCTACAATTTGAGGAACCTGACCTTATGAATGTAGTAGCTCATAAGAGGGAAGAGAGGGAAGGAGTCTTCAACATCAAGGATCAAATTTATCCCCTCGGTACACAAGGTTGATACTGACAGGCAACTTAGACATTGGCTACCTAAAATGGGGGATGGGGGGTGGGGGAGAATACTATAAAGGCACAAAGTGGCTAGTTTACAAGTTTTCAAGAAGGACGAATTTCAAAGTGTATCTGTGTAGCGGGGGGAAGCAG